AGTTCACACCGAGTGGGAACTACAGCGAGGCTGAGTTAACCTCGAAATTCTCTCTCTATCTTCTTGGTCAGCTTGTATATGGAACAGCACTCATCTTTGACCGTCAAGTTACTCTGTTTGAAAGTAAGTCCTTCAAATTTTTGGTTTAACAATCCGAGCAAATCAACTTTCCACATATTTTGGACCATTTTGCTGTGTTGCATGCAAATGATGAAGTCAATTCCCGTAAAATTTCCAAAAAAGCGGAGATTTCGCTTTTTCTCCTGTTTGAGGGTCACACCAAATCTTTGACTTTCGGTTCCGAAGTGAAAGCATATCTTTCTCGCTAGACGTTTGATGTGATTTTCTCGCTTACGGCGAATCGACTACCATCATCTGGTGAGAAGTCAAATTCGTTAATTCTGCCTAACTGCCTTTAAAGAAAGCAGGAGCGTGCTTGTGCAAGCTGGTGCAAATGAGCGATTTTAGGTTTGCATTGTTCACCGCATCTTGTATCATATCTGTTCCAGTTGATGCGCGTTTGGCTTATGAGTGCTGCAAACGGCTGCCTATGGAAGAACTATCACATGCCGGTAGTCCTGATTACGGGTTTGTTGAATTCCGTAAATGTCACGTGTTTGACCGTTAAAAAATCATCATTTCCAAATTATCAAAGAAAAGTCTTGCATTATGGATTTTCTTAGCCATTCCGCCTCGGCCAGAAAGCGACAGTGTCAGTCTAGGTTATTTGGGGAGCTAAATACTCGCGATATTGATATAACGGAGCTTCCGGTACCTTCGTTTCTCTTTCAATCTTTGGTGGATTTGTAAATATGCTCTTTGTAGGAGGGAAGATTTGTTGGGCTTGCTCGACGCAGTGATATTACGATGGTAGAGAGCCAACCGATCATTTGGCAACGACAAGATCTGTTTAACGATGAAGTGATACAGGCACCGATTGATTTCAGCAAGGAACGCTTGTAAGTTGGTCCCATCAAGTAACTGCTTGCAAACACGTTTTTTATTTTGATAGTATTGATTGGAATGACCAACGCTCTTCCAATGGTTCCAAAGACTCACTAAAAACCATCTCCGAACAAAACAAGGTGCGATCAAATTCACTTTCTGATGACTAGCATGATCGGGGTTTTGGTAAGTTGCTCAACATGGTGCTTTTAGCAACCAACCCTTGAACCTTTAATGGAAGAGCTGCCACCATTTCCTCCTCCAGAAGCATTTCGGAATATGGATAGGGAGAGTTTCATGTTAGTTTTTAAGACTAGAA